CAAGGACCTGAAGACTGTAAATTCTTTAGGTGGACGGACAATACAACTGTCTCTACAATATCCCAATTGGACACAGGTACTAGGAGTTCGAGAGTACCACAACAGGAGACCACCGCATATGGTTCGAGTTCTTCCGTGTATACCGCACCCCATTCAGACACGCTTGCTCGGGGATCTGAGGTATCAGAAACGGGCAACATTCGTCATGATGTGGCTTTACATGTTAAACTTAATATTGTCATATTTTTCCTTGTAATTTTAACGTGTTATTTCTTCTTTTTTTTGGGGTCTTTCTATAATCCATATTAGAGATCCAGAAATGTGTATTGAACTTTCCTTTATATCAATATGTTTTGTTGATGTAATCATAACCTTTTTGAGTTATATAAATATTATTAAACTTTTTTGCAATTTCATTTCTAGACATCTGAGAAAATAACATTCTGCTACACAGATTATTCATTCAACTCAAAAAATTTACAAATAAGTTGTTTACAAAACGCACAAACCAAACAGCTGAACTGCTTATTCAGACCAGGGGCAAAAGGGTCAATTTTTCACAATCAGCTGTTTTCCAGACGCGTTAACCAAACAGTCAGACAACTTATCCGGATCAGCTGGTCATCAGCAGATTATCAGGATAAGCTGCTTATCAGCAGAAGCTGGATAAGCTGCAGCTGCCCCAAACAGACCCTTAGTCAGAACATCAGATTCTATTTTTTTTAAGGAAAAATGATGAGAGAAAACCAACCCAACAGCCAATCATAAGCAGGCCCTAAATGCATGCTAAAAGAACAATCCAATAATCAATCAAGCCAGTCAATCAACCGCAAATCAACCGCAAGTAGATTGGACACCTTGGAAGAAATGTTCAGCCAATTCATGAACTCATAACAACAGGGAACCAAGAGTTGTAATCTACTTACCCGTGTGGGAATTGGCAAGGCACCCCCAATCTAGGAAGTAAAAATCCAACGATGATGCGGATGTAAAGGGTGAGGAGGTTTACCTGCCAAACTTTTCTACAGGAAACCTGACTACAGTTCAAGGTTAGACAACTAACTTGAGTTGCCAGCCTACCAAGGTACATTCAACACCAGGAAGCTCAATGGTTGTTTCCATCATCCCAAAACATACTTTCCTTTTTATAGGTACAATCATGCCTAGAAAACAGTCTTCACGAGGCTGAAGCTTTTTGTTCATGCTAACTATGGTGGAATGTAGAAGCAAGGAACCACTGTAAGATTAGAATATTTTATCCTTGAAAATTTAAGAAAATCTTAAAGGAGTATCATCCTGATGACAGAGCAAAAGAGCTAGATCTGAAGGTAAAAGCTACAATAGAGATTTAAGTAGTTCGTAAGGAATAATGTTACTTGATTCTAGAAGTGATTGGTTTATCTAGAAATGGCAAAATGTAAAGTAGAAGTTCAAGCACTTTATATAGATCTGTGTTACTTAATTGTCTATGCGATCGCCTCTTCTAGAAATACTTCAAAAAGAAAGCTCACCCTTCATAAAGTTCATTGCAGGGTAGCATCAAAACCTTCATCAAAAAACTGATGTCAGATTAAAAAAATAATCCAAACGACAGGGATAAAGGATAACAGCAAGGAGAAGGGAGAAAAAGGAAATCAAAACCAATAAAAACTGAGAAAGCCCTTTCGCGTGCATTGTCGACTCAATGCTCATACCACCACCAAATGATGAAAGCTCTTCCCAAAATTAAAGCCAAAAAATGAAGCGTAAAATAAACATTATGGCATATGCAGCAGAGAGTGTATCATTGGTAGACAACAAGCAAACTCTTTGATGACTCAAATGAAATCGTCTAGAAGACAGGTTGCAAAATCAACAAAAAAGCAGGCTAGCAATTACAAAAGTTAACCAAAACCTTACAATCTTACGAATTGCTATCATAACCAGTCCCAAATGATAAAAAACAAATTTCCATGCAAAAATAGCAAGTAACACAACCAAAAGTGCAACACTTTGATCAGCAACTACAGCTGGTTGGACATCAAAATAAGTCGCCGAGATAGCTGTAAAATGGAAATAATGACCCTAGAGCAGTCCAAAAGAAGGGGATAGCAAAGGAATACTCTTCTAGCTCGAAGCCGGCAATAAATATGAGGGCAAAAAAAGTATTTTAGGCAGTATATTCAAATTAAGATGGTTCTAGTTTCTTTGATATTCAATGCCGGAAGTCAAAATAATCTGAAATTAGTGGAACCGGTCAACATATTTTAGTCTGAAAATACAACTCATCCAAATCCTTATTGGAGCAAAGCAATGATGTTAACCACTAGGTTCTGCCTCTTAATGTATGTCGCAAGAACTTCAGCAAGACATACCTCTAAAAGTGGGATCTCTTCTAAATTGATGATGATCATAGCTCACATTTACACAAGATGGTACAAGTTACACTTTTTCCATAACTACTACACATATCTTGAAGATTAAACTCAATCCTAGTTTTATATTGCTTCACTGATGCGAGTTGACAGTAAAACTCCATAAAATTGTTTTTATTTCTCCACTTCACCCTTATCAAGGCAAGCAAATTAACCAAATATAGCAGGAGATTTTAACCCTTTACCAAAAAGAGAGGTTTTATCAACCAAGAGAGCTATGGAACATGAATTGTCATTGATCGAGAGAACATTGTGGCCAAATCAACTAATGTATGTCATTCTCCAATAGAGTCCAAGGAGATTAGGAGTAAGGTGTAAAACCTGTAGAGCAAGAGCAACTCAGGGGAGCAATTTATCATGTGAATCACCAATGATACATGTGTTCAATAAGACTAGCGATTGTAAATGTGCATTAATTATAGGGCCCTAAACATTATCACCATCAAAATCAGATATCCAATTCAACAAATTGAAGAATTAATCATCAAATTGCAACTAACCAAATAGTTTCCAAGCTGTATTTGTCACCATCAAATCTCAGTCAAGAAAAATATAACTAGTCACTGCCATTGAAAGGAGGTTGAGATTGTACAAAAGGCAAGTGATGTTTGAAATTTGCAATTTTCCAACAATCGTGTGAGCGATGAATGAGGTATTCTACGCTGTCATAGATAAAATTGTAATTGTTCAGCTTGATGACATTTTAATGTACAGCAACAGCTAGAATAAGCATTTGCAGCACAATGAGCATATTATAAGGCTTATGCAAGAAGCCAAACTTGCACTTAATCTCAAGAGTGAGAGTTTAACAGCCTCAGACCCATCTAGCTCAACTTGATTGTATGTAAAATAGGCCTATAAATAGATTCAAATATGGTGGTGATCACTCAAAATTGACTCAAGCCCCACACTGATTCAGGAGCGAGGAGTTTCGTTAGTTTTTGTCAATATGTGAGAAAGCTCACAATAAGGACAACACGTTGCCATTTATTTGATTCTTTGGCCATTGGGTCACAATTAATTGTAATACACCTTCTCGAGGTATAAAAACCGCATGAAAATCATGCTTTGTTTACTTTATTTTTTCATTAATTACAGTAGCACTAAAATTGAGTTCTTAGTTGATATTTTTTTATATACAAAAATAATTATCCAATATCAACATATGTTCTTGACAATATATTCCATTAACGTCTTTGATGGCTTCAATGTGCAACTAATCAGTTTGATCCACATATAATTACCCTAATCTTGAACATCACCATTTTTTTCCTTGACTGTCGATACCAGAAATACTTCTTCAATCCCTTGGTGTTCTTTTAATCTTCAGAATTCATGAAGTTTTATTACTCAAAATTCTCTAATATCACCAAGACTCGCCAACAATAGGTACCTCACCAAGATCGGTAGCTTTACCTCCTATGCATCTTTTAGAGCGAACTCCACTTCACTTGTTTAGATTATTTATAATTCATATTACTAAATCAAAGTCCCAGGATCCCATAATATTGTGTAAGCTACGCCATATACCTATTTAATTTTCCTTATTTTTCAGCATATTATAAACATAAACAAAATCTAAAGCTTTTGCTTTCTCACTGCCCGATTTAAAGGATTTCTAGCTTCCACATAATAAGTATAAAACTCAATAATATTCAAAGAACAATTCACTGCAAGTCATTCAATACACTGTGCATTGGCATATTTCTTTCTCTTGTAATCTTTTGAGCAATTTAATTCCACCACCAAGTCTCTTTACTTGTGTATGATTCATTTCTAGTTATCTTATCCCAAAATAAGTTTTATTCAACTACAGAATTTTAAATTTGCTACTCTAAACAACCTATCTTAAAGGTTTGAGAACATTTCGCCATTTAAATTCCAATTTCTTGGTTTAAGGAGATGTTTCCTTCGAATAGTTTTCATTTATCTCTTAAGACATATATCAACAACTACAATTCTACACTGTGTGCTCAACCAATATAAACAAACATGTAGGTGAAAAGCCAATACACATACCCAGGCAACATAAAGTGTTAAAATTAAAAAGAATAGTTTTTAATAATTTTCCAGATTGATGTCAAACTATTATAGATAATTGACCAACATGCAATGGCAAAACTGCTTGACAAATAACAATTTTGAACGAAGTTATAATTTATAAAATGCCTTACACAACCTTGCTTGCAGCTGGCATATCTGAAGTCTCTCTAGATGCCACTGGATATTGGGAAACCGACACCTCAAGCTCATCATCCTCAGACCAGCATTTTGTATGATCTTTTGCGCTTACTTTTGCTTTTCTTTTAAGCATATTCAACTCCCTCGCACTTAACCCTCTAGGACGAAAGCCGGGGATCATGGTTGCCACCAAATGCTGGATATTTTGACCGGATCTGGTAACATGGTATCCATTATTAGGCCCATTTCCACTTGAGTTACCTTTTTGTGTGAGAAGATCCTCATCCCTGATCATATCGCTAACATCTATAAATTGCTCACAAACATCTAAACCTGCATACATGCAAGCACATTGGTAAGTAAAGATACAACTTCGAATTCACTGGAATACTGTCAAAATCAATAAAATTGAATCAAATAAAGGATAATATATATGGGAATATTGGCATATATCTGACTTGAAAAAAGAAACCAAAGGCAGTAGTTGGCACCATGCTTACATAAATCAAGATAAGTAAATATATACCTATTAAATGGAAGGATGGATGGATAGATTATTAGATGTGAACACTATAAAGGTAAGATAAGAACACTGAAGTTCATGAAAAGTAACATGCTAATGCTAGGGGGAACACAACATAGGGTGGATAAAGGACAATAAATAATGGGGTATGTCAAACATTTAAAAAATTTAGGCTATGAATACAGTGGTAAGTAAAAGTAGCATACCCAAGTATACCCAAGACATACACATTTTATGACGTCTCATATATACATACATGTCATATGACATGGATCAACACATGCATATCTATAAAGTGTCCAAATAAAAAGCTGCAAATTAAAAATTAAGTCATCTATCCCAAGCACGTAAGCAAAAAAAAAAAAAAAAACAGACAAATTTTTACATGATGACTAAACAAAAATATATAAATACATAAATATGTATTACAAAAGCAGCCATCTATCCACATCAAGCACGTATACAAGCTAACATAAAGAAAATGCACAACTATAAAGTAGATAAGCATGCAGAAATTTTGAAAGAGATATTAAGAGATTAGGAACATGTAGTTTTCTACACATTTTTTAATAGGAAAAAAAAAATTTGCAACCCAATGGTATTAAATTTAAATTGAATTATTTATGGCTATACAATTCAAGCCCGGATGAGAAAAATGGAGGGTTGTGTTAGGTAGTCGACAGCCAGCATAAAACTTGTCGAAAAAATCATGACATGAATCCTTTTGATCATTGTGTAAGTGTTAGGGCGTCTCCTAGAAGCGACGCGCTGTATAGCCTGAATACAGTGAAAAGCGTGCAAGGGCCGCTACACCGGCGCCCGGGTGTAGTGTTAAATAAGCAAGTGTTCCCACATTACGGGCGAATGCGGGTAAAGAAGTTAGTCCATAAAACTAATAAAACTAATATTAGGATAGGATCTTGGAATATAGGCACTCTCAATGGTAAATTAATGGAATTAGTTGATATTATGATTCATAGGAAAATTAATATCTTATGTATTCAAGAAACTAAGTGGGTTGGAGAAAAGGCTAAGGAGATTGATAATTTAGGTTTTAAACGTTTGTATTCTGGTAAGAGTCGCACTAGAAATGGTGTAGGTGTAATTATAGATAAGAGTTTGAAAGATAATGTTGTAAAAATTAATAGAGTTGGTGATAGAATTATAGCCCTTAAGATTATCATTGATACTAAGATTTTTAATATTATAAGTGTTTATGCTCCTCAAGTAGGTTTAGATACAGAGTCTAAAGAAAAATTTAGGAATGACTTAAAAGATTTAATACAAATGATACCTCTTGAAGAAAGAATTTTTATTGGAGGAGATTTAAATGGATATGTCGGTAGAGTGGTAGAAGATTTCAGAAATATTCATGGTGGCTACGGTTTTGGAGTAACTAATGAAGAAGGTAAAGTTATTTTAGATTTTGCTTTAGCGTTTGATTTTGTTATTACTAATACTTTATTCAAGAAAAGGGATGAACATCTTATTACTTATAAGAGTGGATCTAATAAAACACAAATTGATTATTTTCTTATGAGAAGAAGAGATCGTCGTGATTGTAAAGATTGTAAAGTCATTCCAAGTGAAAATTTAAATACCCAACATCGTTTATTAGTTTTAGATTTTAAGATTAAGAGTTGTAAAATAAAAAAATACTAGGACTCATCATTGCAGAATTAGATGGAGAAACTTAAAAGATAAAAATAAAATTAATTTTATGAGTAAAATTCAAGATTTCAAAATTTGGGATATTCATGAAGAAGCAAATGTGATGTGGGATAAAGTAACAAACGCTATTAAACATGTAGCAAAAGATGTTCTTGGAGAATCAAAAGAAAAAATATTTACAAATAAAAATAGTTGGTGGTGGAATAATAATGTGCAAGAAAAGATAAAACATAAGAAGTTATGTTACAAAAATTGGTTTAAAAGTAAAAGCTTAGAGAACTGGAGAAAATATCAAACAGCCCGCAGGGAGTATAAAAGAACAATGTGTGACGCTAAAAATTCTGTTTTTAATGATCTTTATAATATACTAGATACTAAGGAGGGTGAAAAATATATGTATAAACTAGCCAAACAAAGAGAAAAGAAAAGTAAAGATTTAACTCAAGTAAAGTGTATTAAAGATGAAAATCAAAAAGTACTTTTCTTAGAAAAAGATATTCAACATAGGTGGGTGAGTTACTTTGATAAACTTTTTAATGAAGTTTCTGAAAATACGATCGAACTTAATGATTTTAATATCGTAAATAATAATAAAACGTTTCATTTTTACCGTCGCATTAGCAAAAAAGAAGTTGAGGAGGCTTTAAAGAAAACCAAGGGTGGAAAGTCTGTAGGACCTGATGATATCCCAATTGAAGTGTGGAAATATTTGGGAGATTTGGGAGTTTCTTGGCTTACTAAACTCTTTAATATTATTTTAAAAACTAAAAAGATGCCTGAGGAGTGGAGGAAGAGTATTTTGATCCCCATTTTTAAGAATAAACGGGATGCACAAGAGTGTGCAAATTATAGAGGAATTAAGTTGATGTGTCATACTTTAAAATTATGGGAGAGGGTAATTGAACATAGGTTAAGATGCATCACGAAAATTTCTCATAATCAATTTGGATTTATGCCTGGCAGGTCTACTATGGAAGCTATACATTTATTGAGAGGTTTGATGGAGAAGTTCAGAGATAATAA